TCTGAAGATGCCAGTCTATTAGGGCGGCTAGATAATCCCTATTGTAGACGCCTGCTAAAGGCACATTTGTGTCGGGTCAACACCCACAGAGCCCACCCTGTGGTTTACACTGCAACTATATTACAGTTTCTGAGAGAGAGGGCGTGATCAAAAGTCTGAAGAAGGCTATCACGCTCAAACCCTCGGCTACGATGACTTGGGACCGACATCTATCAAGAGTTCCGTCGATTCAATTTTACTCCCAAGGTTTGCCGCACGCTGGGATCGCCTGCTCCATCAAAGAAGATAGCATCAAGAAGTCAGCCTCCTGACAAACCAACCATTCGAACCCGGGTCTCTTGGTCAGAAAACGAACGTTCTAACCACTCGGCCACGTGCCCATCAATACATGGATTAAAAGGGCTGTTAAGGGCCAAATGTTGTTTAAAGCTACAAAGGATTGGAACAAATGGAAGGTTATGACCCCCACATGAAAAATTATATTAATGATTTGCGCTTAGATGCCAAGGTAATTTAGTGTGTATCGAAGTCAGTTGTAATTGATCTAGCGAAACATGTTTGCTAAATATTATACCACGGTGAAGCACTTCAAAGAGATATATTTAGTAATTTACTAAGCGTAGCTAAGATGTTGCACAAGGCCGAAAATATGGGGCACCAACTGAGAACTGAACTCACTAATTAGAAAATGATCTAGTGAGACAAGCTTGTTAACCATTGCACCACATCGAAGAGCACAAAGACAGAGCGTTTTACTGAGCGTAGCTTAGAAGTGGCACAAGGCCGAAAGTAAAGAACGCTCGGTGAGAATCGAACTCAGTCGTAATTGAACTAACGAGAAAGACTTGCTAACCATGACACCATGTCGAAGTGCGCAAAATGCCCTGTGAATTAGTGATTTACTAAGCTTAGCTTAGACGTGGCACAAGGCCTCAAAAATCGAACACACTATTCAGTCGAAATTGATCTAGCAACACAAGCTTACTAACAATTACATCACGTCGAGCTGCTCAAGAATATAAAGGGTGTTTCATTAAGACGGATTATATATAAGGGTGTTTCAGTAAGACGGATCAAAGTCAGCAGTAAATAAATCAGTGTTATTGGTGAAATTTTTTTTATTTCTCTATTGGATCATGTTATTTAAGTCATGGCAATTATGAGTGAAAAATAATATCACCCAAATGTCTGCCAAATCTGAAAGAAAAAGAAAAAATCATTAGACATTTAAATTTAATTCACATTTAAAATCAGTCCAAGTTATTGGAACCCCCTTTATATTTAATATAGTGATTTACT